TAGTAACATGTGCCTTACTACTAGTAACAAGAAGCTATTAGAAACAATTAAACAAAACGACTCCAACGGCGTTGACTCCAAACGGCTCAAGGTGATGAAAAAGGGACATTGAGTCCACAAGAAACACATGAGTGTTTTTTTGCTTCTCTCAGCTGTACGGTCTAGCCGGTAGCCACAAGAAACACATGAGGAATGAATCAAAAATAACGCAGTTCTGCGGCAAGCCGCAGGTTACGTTCTTCTTCCCCCATGTGGCGGAGTCCTATTGAGTTCTGGTGAAGGCCACAGTAATCAGCCTGCATTTTTGGGCCGGAAAACGGCCGTCTATTAAATCACTGGTGCAAACATGCAATTTGACATGTTGAGCCCCCCTAGAATCCCTAATTAGAAACTCAAACAAACAAAGCAAACCTTTAAGTCCTGTGCAGAATGAATGAATGCTACTGGTGCAAGTCCTGTGCTCCGCTGTACACAGCTGAGTGACATGTCCACATACCGCACAAAGGGCCACTGAGAGCGTCCAGCAACCAGCGCGTAGCACTCGTAGTAGAGATCATATTTGCCTGGAGCTTGCAGCTGCTTGCAGCAGAGGATGAACAGCTTGCAGCTGTTGAACTTCAAAGAAGAATTCGCAAAGGAAATTAGGACATTCATGGAAATTCTAGCTGTATAGTTGAAAATTCCTGGGGGAACTTCTTGCATGGAGACTGCCAAATCTCTTGGCCACAACGGCCATGCCCGTTGTGCAGCCCCGCTTGTACTCTTGTGTTCAATTCCCAGGTCGTCAAGTCACTTCGCAAGGCATCTTTCACGGCTTCCTCGTCGTCAACCTAGGGGAATGCTCAGAAAAAAGCTGTATGCAACTAACAACAATACTTGCTACTAAAAAACAATAAATATTGTCGGTATTTGTCGGTAACAAATATATTCTGCTTTTTCTTCTTTTTTGGCCGGCCTATTCAGGCAGTCCCTTGTGTCCCTTGTGGTCCCTTGTGGGCTTGGGTACGCCCTCCTACCTCCTTCTTTGAATCCAATAAGAGAAAAGATACTAGTTTCAGCTACAAAAAGGTTTGAACAAAAAACATTCAGGAGAACCGCGCATTGTGGTCAAAGAACATGACATACGTCTTTGAGGTAAATGATCTTGATGTCCTCCTCGAAGCAATCCATTAGAGCCTGGTTGCCACTGAGGCACTGCTTGTACCAAAAAAAGATGACATCAATTGGACAAATAATACCCATGGCCTCCAACCCCCTAGCGTCCTTGCTCCTAGTAGCGATGCCAGGAGCCCCTAGTAGCTTCTTGTTACTAGTAGTAAGGCCGGGAGCCCCTAGTAGCGTCCTTGCTCCTACTAGCCATGGCCTCCAACCTAAACCTCCGGCCTCCAACCTAAATGCCGAGAGGACCCACGAGAAATCAGTTGGTGGAATAGTTCTGTTGATTCTATTTGTCCATGTCGACATAGTGGTGACCTAAATGGTCCATGCCTAAGAACATGCCCTTTACAGGGGTCTGTCAAGGTCAACACATCCGAGCCAACGCATGATTCTCTTCTCATGTCCACATGGACAACTTCCCGCCTTGATCCTCGCTGGTCCCTGGCTCCAATCTTCAATCTCCTCTTCGGGTGCTCCAGTCTCGGGCACTCCCTCCTGGAGAGTTTCGGATGCGACCGTGCAGCTTTTTTCGACGCTGAGCCGCTGAGCCCTTTTTTGTCTCACCCCACGGCCCACCCACATCGCAAAACCTGGATGAGGAGGCGTCTGAGTTTTGGAGTTTTGGTGCTTTGGGTGAGGAAGGGTCGACAGGAGAGGCCCTGGAAATCGTCAGAGACGTCATCTCAGGGGTGCCCTGTCTAGTGTTGCTCTGGATCTCGTCGCACGCGCAAGCTGGCCAAGCGGCTGGGATTTGGAATCTGGGATTCCTTGGAGCGTGTGACAGAAAAAACCATCTAATAGGAATGGCCTCCAACCTACATGAGATTGGCCTCCAGAACTGTATGACCCAAGTTGGCTTCAAAATGGACAGTTCCCTCGGTTTCGCCATGTCTTGTTCATTCTTTTTCTGTAGGATGCTACTGGTGTTCCAATGTGATCCATCCTGCTTTTGCACCAGCCGAGCATCTGCTTGGCCTCTGCAATCCAGCAGCCCGCGGTGAACTTCTTCGCCCCCACCTGATCAACACACCGAACACGTGACTCTTCCTCTGTAGGCGCAGCACGGAGTTCCTCCCAGGTCGTCTCCTCATGGCTCCTCCTCTCCAAGCACTCTCCCCATTCCCCACCTCCTTTTTTTCCAGCACGACTTGGCGTACAACTCGACTCGGACCCAAAAAAGCCCAGCCTCAAAGTTGGGAGGTGGCGTGGCCACGATCCAGTCTTTGGCATCTAAGTGTGGTGCACGGCACAAAATCAGCTCGCTATGCTCCTGGCGACGAGTGTACCCGGGCGAAGACCCGTGGAGCGATCATTCAGCGGAGTTGTGCCACCTACTCTACCCGAGCTTTACTCTGGTTTGTTTTGAAACCGTTGACCCGCAACAACTGAAACCAGCCCACACCTCCTCTGCATGGCAAAATGTAGAAGGACAAAAGAATCGCTTGGATGAGAATGTGGATGAGAATGTGGATATGTGTGGCTTCGGTGTGACTGAGCGCATGCCCAAAACAATGGCTATGCTCCTGCCACCGACACGGACGAACGGGGCGATCTCGCGAGCGGCGACGAACGGCGCGATGCATTCCCAGCTCGCCTCGCCCTGCGCAGGCTCGGGGATCTGGATTTCCTGCAGGGCTCGGGGAGTTGGGGGAGCAAATGAATGCTGATCTATAATCCACTGGAACTATTCATAGATACGTTCTGGTATGGATGTTGTATAATTAGTTGTATAATTAATTGTATGATGTTGTATGGTTATATAAGTTATATATCATTGTCACAGTGTCACCCAGTGTCACCCCGTGAACGAAATGTTTCGTCACCCTGCTGTCACCTGGCCAAACGCTCTCAGTCTCAGTTTCTCCCCGGCCTCACCCTCGAGGCCGGTGGCCCCGATCTCCGCCGTCCATTTGTAGCAGGCCGCTTGGATCACCGAGGTGTCCTCTTCGGACGGATTCTTCCGATCCCGTCCAAGTCGGAGCACGTAGGGATTCGGATGGAAGAACGAGTCGTTCATTAAAAAAATTGACAAAAGCAAACAAAACGCACGGAATAATCTGATACACCTGCACTTGCTCAAGTATATCTGGATCACAGGGAAATAATGAAAAAGGATAGCAAAAGGCAGGTCTAAAGTCTAAAGGTCCAAAGAAAATGGAATTGACATGTCAAAAAATGGTCCACCACTCTCTTATATAAAACATAAAAAGGATTCTAAAAGGAACACACGTCATGCGAACGTCCTCCACACAACTATCCTCACATCCCAGCAGGTGAAGACACATCAGCGACACTGAACGCCCAAGCAAATGGTAAAGCTCATCGATGCATTCCTCGGCCCACCACGTCGCGTCGACAGCGACCCCACCCTTGGGAGGGTCAAATGGCTTCGTTTCGTCCAAGACGTCGACCACTCATACATCTCCAGGTAGGAACAAGGCAAAAGAGGCCGAGGAATGGAAGGGAAAAAAACAGATAAAAAGAACAGGCCCTGGCCCTTGGGGAGCTAGTACGACCTAGTAGGACCCAGTAGGACCTTAACTACTAGGCGCCGAAGTCCACGGCCGACGCTTCACCCGAAATCCTGTGAAGCCCGGTCGCTACATTAGATCCCAGATGGCCCAGGTGCAGCCGTACTAGGAGCAAGTAGCTACTAGTAACAAGAAGCTATTAGTTAATTAAATTCTAATAGCTTTTTGTTACTACTAGTAAGGCACTTGTTACTAGAAGCGATGCACTTGTTACTACTAGTAAGGCACTTGTTACTACTAGTAAGGCACCTGTTACTACTAGCGATGCACTTGTTACTACTAGATCCCAGATGGCCCAGGTGCAGGGCGCATCAAATTCTCCGCCAGGTCCAGATGTGCAATTCTTGCCTCAGCTTCATCAGCTTCATTCATCTCAAAGGCAACCAAACTCAAGGAATAGCTGGATCACTTCACAAATTTCACTATTCACCCAGTAGGTAGGTGCATGAGATCATGAAGTTGCGGAAATGGACCATGCAAGACCCCGTTGCCAAAACAAAAAGGGCCCATGCAACAACACAGACCCCAAGTCAGCCATGCTGGTCGCCATCATGACACGAAAGTCGCTATTCTGCCGTAATACTCCAACACTGCCTGCAAGAGACAGGCCACCATTGTTAGCTCAAGCAAAGCGACAAGGAACACCATTGCCCGCTGATGAACACGGTGCTCCACTGTTCCACTGCAGTCCAGCACATTCCAAGCATCGCCCTCCCACTCACTCGTACTGGACACCTAGCGATCTCGCTTCAGTCCTAGCAGCGTGCACCCGAACTGCTTGAAAAATTGTTGTGATGGCTGCTGCGTGGCCGCTAAACCTGAAGCTCAGCAGGGTTGCAAGCAAATCCAGGATGGTTGAATTGAATGTTTTTTCAGCAACTGGATATGGCATGAATTTACCCATCTACCTTGAGCATCCTTGAGCTCTATCTAAGTCTATCTACCCTTCATTCCTGCCCTTCCCCTTCCCCAGCGGCTTTGGCGCAGACCGAGCGGCCGGTTTCGCCGCAGCGAGACCTCCAAGAGGTGCTTGCTCCGGAGGATGCCCCTCAGCGAGAGCCTGGGACGAAGCCAGCGAACAGCCGCCCATAGAGGCGTAGGGTGAGGGGGTGGCAGGGAGGGAAACCTACTAGCAATGGCCTCCAACCTACTAGCGATGGCCAACAACGGAAAGAAAGAGCAGCTTTGGACATTGTAACGTGTGACGGTAGGACATGTGGACAGGAACTCAAAAGAACTGATCCGAGTGCAGGCTGTCATAGTTCACATCCACAGTTGACCCTCCAAAGGTTCACAAAGACTTTGGTGCCAAAGAAGCTTCCAATGATCTATACAATATCGTCTCCAAAAGAGATGACAAGAAACCAGGAGGCTTCAAAGCCGCCCCCTTTTAAGACGTGCATTCAAGGCCCTGGTTGGACCATTGAATTTAGGTTTGTCAGCAATTACCCACTGGATGCATGCGGTCAAGTGCATCAAACGGGAAGCACGGCTTAACATTTCAAGCCTTTAGACAAGCTTCCCAAGCTACCAAGTAAAAGCCAGTAATCCCGAGTACCTATTAAAACAAGATGGAGCCCACGAACCCGAATGCAAACACGTTCAAAAGCTATATACATATGTCCAAATGACACTCTTGTAGGACACTCTTGTGGGACACTCTTGTAGGATACTCTTGTGGGTCACTCTTACACGACACTCTTGTAGGACACTCCTTGTGGGACACTCTTGTAGGAAACTCTTGTGGGATACTCTTGTGGGACACTCTTGTGTGACACTCTTGTAGGAAACTCTTGT